TGAGCGAGCAAGTGGCATGCTGCATGTTTTGCCAGAGAGTGGTGCACCTACCTGTTTCATTTTCAAATGCCTCAAGAAATATGGAAATAATTGTTTTATTTGCAAGCACTTGATAGCCATTTGCAGCCGAGAGAGCAAGAGGACTTTATTTTCTGCCACCATTTAAGTGGAATTGGAGGATTCTTTTCAGTATCTTGCGCCAGCCAGCTTTTAGGTGCCTTCTGTCTGTGAGGTCTCTCAATGGTAAAGGTCAACTGAAGCAGTGGATCCTGGTCTAAACAAGAGTGACAGTATTACAGTAGATTAGAAGGACATTTAGGTCTTTAACATGTTTCAAATGCGTTTGGGCGAAAAGGGTAGAGTTGCCAAAGTGAGGTGTTTTTTTTTTTCCAAAGGAAAGAGCTATGCTGTGAACTACATCAGCTGGACTTTAGTTTTATACTTTCTTGATAAGCTTCCAGTTCAGGTTTCACAAACCTGTTTTGTTTACTGGGTTGCAATAGGTGCAGCTGGTCAAATTACAGCTGTAAAACTGACTTATAGGAGAAGGGACAGCTCTCTTTTTGCTTAAAGCAGTCCCCAGTTTCATTTCGGTTCTTTTGACATGCCAGCAGACTTAGAGACAGAGTGAAGTCGGTAGACCTGTCCTGATTTTTCCCTAGGAAATGCATCAAAGGGCTATGTAAGTGGTGCTTTTGTTACACAATTTACACAACAGTCTATTTGGTTTGTCTTTCACTTGACTGAAGACAGTTTACTTCAGGATTCAGACTTTGTAAGTCCACCTTCATCTGCGGTGCTTGTTTTACAAACTAGCATGCGATGGCCGTCAGCAGTGACGCACTCGGTAGTTGATGGCCCTCTGCTAGGTAAACCTGTATGTGAGGAACCTCTCAACCAGTCCGAGCATTATCAACTTCAAAAGTTTAGAGTCTCAAATCTCTGCACTATGGTTGCTTTGGTTACTTGCTGAGCAGGTAAAGCAGAGAATCCAACAGATAGCATGAAAGTTTGAAGGAAGATGCGTTTGCTTATTTTCTGCTGTTCTAGAGATCCTTGGAGGGTGATAGCTTTCTGTTTAGCGGCACAACCACAAGGTTTAGAGCAGGAATCAGCTTGAAGGAGAGGTGCTTCTTGTTCCTTTCCTCTTTTGCTGTGGAAGACCTTGTCATGTAAAAGATTTTCTAAATTTGTGTGCTAATTTTCTCTCCTGCCTTTCCCTTTCAAGGAGAAGGCACTGCAAATGGTGTTGGTCAATGCCTTAAGCACAGTCAGATTTTATAGCAGGAGCATGCAGTTCTGTAGCCTGCTGAGGATCCATCCCTTCAGAGTACTGAAATTGCTGAATCCTCAATTTTGTCTAAATCGCAGTGGGTTACTTTGTAACTAGCAGGTGTAAGATTGTTGCGATTTTAAAATCTCAGCTTCGTTGGCATCTTGATGCAGGATGAAAGTCACAGCCAAATATTTAAAGTTCTTGCTTAAATGTGTTATTGCATAGGGCAATGAAAGGGATCTCACTATCTTACCAGCAACAAGCACAGACTGTGAATAGATTACTAAGTCTGCTTTATTCCTCCTGTGGATGTTAATTGATGAACCTTCTGAGGTTTGGTTGCCCCTTACGGTGCCCCTTATTGTTGTTTTTTGTCTTATATTTGTAAATTTTCCGTCAGTAGCAGACAATCCCGTTATATTGGTGATGGTGGGGAATGGATTTTTGCAGTGGGGCTCACAGATAAGTGCTTTCATTTGTTCAAAGTGAAACAAAATTAGCAGAGTTTGCACTACATCTGTAAATTCTAAGGAAGAGAAAGAAGACATTGAATTTACAAAGCCTACCTAGCCTATTAAGATAGCAAAAGGTGGGTTAGAGCAAAGCTTCCACAGAGAAATTCAAGAAATAATTTTCTGCAAAAGTAGAAACCATTGCTGGTTTATAAAGTCTTTCTTTCAAAAACATGAAATGATTTTTGTGTATTCTAGCACATGAGTTAATGCCTCTAGAAATAAGATATCTGGTGTGGTGGTTGTGTGGTGTTTTGGGTTGTTTTTTCTTCCTCCGGTAGTTTTATGTTCAATACAAGGAAGGGCTTGATGGAGGTTTTTTCAGCTTCTTTGACATGGAATGTCTGTACTGTGGTTTTTAATGCAACTTCACTGAGTTCTTAATTATGTAGACTCCTTTCTGAAAAATATGTTCAGTAGTGACTGAAAGGTAAAACGTTAAGGAATTCCATGTAAAAGAAATGGAAGACAATTAAAAACTTATTATATTGCTATGTAAATGCTCAAAAGGGCCACCATCATAATTGCTAATGTGCTGTTCTTCTTGTCCTAATCTGGAAAAGGATATAGTAGAACTGGAGAAGATTCTGGGAAGAAACATGTGAGGAAGATGCAGAATAAACTGTGCATGTTCACCTCAGAAGAGAGAGGATTCAAAGAAAGATCTGTAAGATCAGGAATGAGGCTGAAAAGGTGAAAAGGCAGCATTTGCTCGTGCCTTGCAGTATAATTTCATGGAGTATGTTGAAGAGGAAAAAAGTATAGAGAGTTTAGAAAAAAAAAAATCGGGTCTGTCAGTGATTATTAACAATTATTGCAGCCTCTTATTTAGGGAGACTTATTCTTCCAAAGCAGGGAGCAGAGTGGAAGTTCCAGTGTTTGCTCTTGTTCTGATGTTGTTCCCTAAAGCAGCTCTTGCTTGCTGTTTAGGAGGCAGCATACAGGATGCATGGATTTTTCATATAACCCAGTGTGGTATGTATTTTATCATGTGTGGCCTTCACTGCTAATTTTTGTGTGAATAAAGACAATCCTAGTGTATGGTTGCAGTTTCAAAGAGAAATCTAAAATGTATGCATTGTCAGTTAACTTGCAGGACTTTGGTTATTGAATGACCACAGTAATTTAGCTAGGATTATTACATTTACATTTTATGGAGAGGAATTCACTAGGAGGGTAGGATAACTGAGATTTTTTAGTGTCATGGGGAGACAGTGCTGCAGTTATCTGGAAACTTATTTGTACTACCAGGAGGATTTTGAGAACTGGAAGAAACAAAATTTTTAAGCTGAATAGCTGTCATCACATTTGTAAACTTTCTTGTAATCTACTGTCCACTTTACAGATCAAGGTACCGAGAAACATGAAGGAGCAGGTACTTCTGGGATTACTGATCAGGAAAAGGAATTGTCGAGCAGTGCATTACAAGCTTTTCTGGTAAGACAAAGCCAAGCTCTGAGACTTGTAATTTACCACATAACTGCTAAATGGGGATATATAATTGCTTTTCCTGTTTTCTTAGCACAGTTGCAAATGTATTAGTGGGATGTTGCATCAAAAGTAGCACTACTTGTGTTATAAAGCCAGCACATGCATTTTCTGTCTGTTATGATGTGAGAAGACTGAAGGGAATACTTGAACAAAGTGTGCAAGAGCACATTTAATCTTTGTTCTCAAAGCTTAGTAGCCTTTAAAGCTGTTTAATAATGAGTTAATTAGCAGAAGCAGGCTGCTATTCTGTATCAGTGCTGCAAATGCATGATCCCTCTGAAGAATGAGTTGCTTCAAGCTGAAAATGTTGTGTTAAAGGGCTTAAAGGAACCATGTGTATTTAAAAAGCAGCAACAGACCAAACCTTTTTTGTTTTAGCATCTTGCTGTATTCTTTCACAAAAAGCATTGTATACTGTTCTGTCACGTCACTTTAAAACATATTCTTTAACATGTAACACCTACAGGCAGTTTTTACTACCTGTTTTGTGTTTCTTGGAAGATTTTTTTGTATGTGTGTGTTAAAACTCAGGTACAGGTCTTTCAGTTTACTTCTTTCTTCGTATTGTCTCCTAATTTTTAGTGTAGCAAGTGACAGGAAGTATAATTGCTTTTCCTTTCAATTGTTGTGTCTCTGTCTCCACAGTGCCTTACCTAATCCAGTTTTGGATGTGTTAAATAGATCCAGAGAAGAACTTAAATATTGTCTTTTGAGATTCCTGCTTGTATGTTTCACTCATTACATTTATTTTGTCTGAAATGTTGTTAGGTGAGGTGCATGTAGTTCGTCTTTAAACTGACTACAGCTGGTGTAGTTCACTGATGTCTGCTTGAGTGCTTTCTAGCTCAGTTACTCTTTTCCAAGAACATTTTGCTCATTGGCGTTTCATCCTTAAGGCACATGAAAGGGTTGTCTGTTTTTCACCTTGTCCACAGATCTCTGTGCCTAAGATACTTTCAATCTGCTGACAGCTTCATCTGTAGTTTTATACTGGTCCAGTGTATCTTGTTTATCTCATTATTTTGTTCTTGCTTTAAGAACTGCCCAAGTTCATGGAGTTGTGAGGTGGTGACAGATGTGAGCAGAGTTAATCTGGTGCCTTGTTTGCCAGTTTTGCTTGCTACTGAGTTACTGTAAATAGCTTTGTGGACTGCTTTATCATTGCATTTCCAATTTCAGTCTTGATAGAATTTCTATGAAATTATATAGTATATTCTAGATTCTGTCTAGTAGAGTGCAGTTAAGGACTATTAGCTGAGGAAAAACATCACAAAGTAAGCTGAGCGCTTAAGGGTTCAAGGTTTTTAGTCCAGCCATGATTAGAAACCTTGGTACCGTGACCTGAAAGCTATTCCTATTGAAGAGAAGCTCCGAGTGTGAATACGTGAAGAAAATCGTTGGGAGATGAACTGTCTCGTTTAAAGAGCATGCCAGCAGTTGAGTTGCAAGTCCCTGTGTTTATGCACATGATCACTAGGCAATCCATGCTGTTGATACTAGATTTTTGGAAATACCGTGTGTCGATGTCCTGCTACATCTCTCTGTAAATTGTATAACTGTGCTTTCACAGGGGACCGAAGGAACAGGGATGGCTCTGTTGAGAGTAGCTGCAGAATGGCGACTTTCTCGGGAAAAGCAGAAGGATCACAGAGCCTTTCTCTGTTGTAATTCTTCCCTTAATAGTGGAAGTTAGGCAGGAGCCCAGGAGAAGCTCCATGGAACAGCACTTACAAGGGAGGAGGAAGTGGAGAGTGGTCGTGGTACTCAAGAACAGTGCTTTTGACTGTGAAACATTGACAGAGTGGAAACGAATCTGCTTATCTGATGGACCAGGTTGGAAGTAACCGTGATGTGGAAGAGGTGGAGGTGATTATTCCTGTGTAGGAATTGAACAGTAGAGAGTGAAGGATCATTTAGGCTTAATAGAGTTGAGAGGGTCCGGGGTTCTCTTTCATTCCTCGATGCCACTAAATTCCTCCTGCACAAACACAGAAAAGACTAAAACTGAAAGTGGAAAGAGATGAGCCGTTCTGAAGCCCTTGTCAACAGGCAAAAGCGATTTCTTGATTAAACCACATCTCAGAGGAGCATCATGCTTGGGGTCCTAGTTTCTGTTTAGGCATGCCTAGAGCATTGAATACTTCATTCAACGGCTAAAACTTGTAAAAATATTATTTAAATCTGTGCTGGGAAAGTGACCCCCTCTTTTTCCAACCTGCCTTAAGCTGACTTCCACAGACTAACTTGTATCTCCTAGTCTCTCCAGGTGAAGTGAAAAACGAACATAAAATTTTGGGCTGGGACTTACATAAGCAACTGCAGCTGCTCAATGTACATGTGATGGGAAAAGATTATGAAAACTGAGGAAATAGAGAGTCTTGAAACTCAAAATAATTCAATGAAGAGAAATCAGAGTAACGCTTTTCATGGCAGCATCTGTTTATAATAGACTACCCCATTTGGCCTTCCTCCACAAAATTCTTTTTGAAGTTTATATATGACCTCAACTTTTAATCTTCTTAGACATGTTAATCTGCATAAATAATGAAGTATGTGTGTAGATGTTTAGTTCGCTTCACTTTCTGTTGATAAAAGAAATACTACTTTGCTCTCTGAACCTACAGAAGGTACTTTCATTAAAACTTAGTAGCCTGCTAGTTTAAACTTTGTATCCTCTAATGCATATTTCTGGTATCTATGCAATTTCCAGGCTGGAAACTACGATGCTTGTTTACAACACCTAAATACCCTTCAAGACATAAACAAAGATGACTATAAAATAACTTTGAATACTGCTGTTGCGGAGTTCTGTAAAAGTAACCAGACTACAACAGACAGTTTGAGACAGACCCTTAACCAGCTGAAGAACCAGGTAATACAAACATATTGACGTGGTACTTGATTTTGAGTACTGTTAATGGCAGTGAGATCTTCCAGTGGAATAGGAATAAAGCTTCTGCCCCTTGTCCCCTAGATTTAACAAAGGATTAAGAAAGTAACATTGCTTTTAAACCTCTGAGTCAGTTCAGTCATTTAGCACACTGTTTTTATAGTTATGTTTTTAGTTCTTGTTGAAATTGATCTGAAGCTGAAATGTTTCAGATATTATAACCATAGAAAGACCTGCTAGGTTCTTTCAATAGAATGTTCCTTAACCTGAAATACTTTGTGAAATAATTAAAAAGTGAAAATGTTACCTTACTACTCAATTGACAGCTTTCATTTTCATTTTTCTGCTGGGTTTATATGGAGCAACAATAAAGTTTATGAGCTTATAACTCTTACTGACCTATCTTCAGACATATTAGTACCTTTGGGTTATTTTTAAAAAATATTTTGACACTTTTAAAAATCACAGGTATTAAAAGTTTAGTGAAACGAGTGGCATTTTTTTCAGGTTCACTCTGTTGTTGAAGAAATGGATGGTTTAGATGATGTTGAAAATAGTATGCTGTACTACAATCAAGCTGTTATTTTGTATCATCTGCGTCAGTATACTGAAGCTATATCAGTTGGGGAGAAGCTGTACCAGTTTATAGAGCCTTTTGGTATGTAGACAGAAAGAAGGGCGTTGTTCATGCAATAACTACAGAAGGATCACTCGGTCTTTCTCACTATCACACAAGTGATTTGTAATTTGCCTAATACGGTTCTAAAACAAGTAGGCTTTGGAATGAAGAATATGTTTTACTTATATCAAGGACAACAATTGAAATTTGGGGGGAAGGTACTTCAGAGACATTTAGCAGAATAAGTACAATGAAACTGAAATGGATTTTTGACAACTTTAAAATATATTTATGTAAATAATGTGCAAGCTAATTAAATGATTTAAAATCTAGTATTTTGAGGCGTCATACAACTTCATGGATGGGTGTGTATTTGTCAGGGCACTCACATTTTTAAATACCTGCATTAGGTCATACATAATTGTATGTGCTTGTAGCCGAATATAAAGTCTCCACCTTTTATGAGCTTTGGCACCCTGTGTAGTGGAATTGCCATACTTGTAGGGAATAACTTCGCAATCCTTATTGATTTTTAGAGGTGACAGGGCTGAAGGATGTGTGTGTCAATAAATTAAGTAAATGCTACTGTGTTTCTCCTTCAGTTCCTCCCAGTTTTCAATATGCCTATTTGGGACTTATGCTGTGAAGCCAGTCAAGCAGAGATGTGTTTGTAGGGAATCCTTTAATGTTCTGTGGTGTTCTACGTCTGCATATGGCTCCATCTGTCTATTTAGATGCTGGATCTTTGGTGCTGATCTGCTTAGACAGATTCTCAAAGTCTGTAAACATAAAATATGTGTTAAGCTGTCTTTAGTGCTTTTATGCTGATGCCGTTTGAATTAATTCACCTTTTTTCAGTGTATGTACTTAACTACATTGTGGAGATGTCTGCATTTTTTTCTTACATAATATATTGATTTTTCTCATAATGTTGCATAGATACGCTTCATAGTAATTTTTTTTTTCTTCAGTCATGTTTGCAATGATTGGTAAAATAATACTGTAAAATAATAAAGCTGTAAAATAATTCTTACTTCTTTGCTTTATACAGAAGAGAAGTTTGCCCAGGCTGTGTGCTTCTTGCTTGTAGACTTGTACCTGCTAACTTACCAAGCTGAGAAAGCCTTGCATCTGCTTGCTGTTCTGGAGAAAATGATTTCACAGGGCAACAATAACAGCAAGAATGGAAAAAATGAGGTAAGCTTAAAATCAGATGAATGTCACTAAGTCTTTGCCAGAAATATGCTTTGACTCAATCTGAAATGACTCTTAAAATACTTTTGAATTATAAAACTGTGTTAGATCACCTGTAACTTCAATATATCAGCAACTTACACATGTTAGTAACTGACTTAATGGTATACAGCAGTGGTTTATTCCCTCTCTTTCACCCTTTTCTCGTGCTCCTAGGGAACTGTGAAGTATTTCTTAAGTCAGAGCCTTGCATTGGAAAGACAGTTGTCTTCAGGGTCAAATATGTGTAGTTTTCCTTGTTTGTCTTGGATTATGACCAGATGAGACCCCAAGTTCGAAAGGGAAGTCGGTGTCAGAGAGGAACTGCGATTGCATGCCATAGTATGGGAAATCAAGCATCTTTTTCACATGGTATCTGGAAGTATGAGGCATACTTTCAAATGAAATATTTTGTGTGTGTCCTTCGGAAGAATGAGTAGTAGCTTGGAAGTGAAATGAGGACACTTCAGTCTTTTCCTGTTGATGGAATGTCACACTTCAGATAAAACATCTTATCTTTAAGTATATAGTAATTCTACTGAAGAAAATATTAGAGAGAGGCTCTAGAATGTGCATATCATTCTTCTGGGTAAAAGAATTCTTAAAATACCTCAACTGCAGAGAAACACAGCCTAACGCTAGTGTTAATATAGAATTCTGCTCTTCATAGGCTGGTGTGGTTGTTTGTGGATTTTGGTTGTTAAGCTCAAGTTGCAGTACTTGGTAGAATGTGTATTTTTTTACTATTAAATATATATTTTTCTTCTTCATGTGAGATTGTTTCATAAGCTATTTTTATGAGTCTGTTAACTGAATTTAAAAGGTGACTAATAGTAACACTTTCTTTTTTTCGTCCGACATTCAGTCAGGTAATAATACAAGTAAAGATTCCTCAAATCAAAAAGCTGAAAGTGGAGCTTTAATAGAAGTTGCTAAATCTAAGATACATCAGGTAAGTGTCTGCATATTATTTATACAAGAACGTTGGTTCCAGTTTTTCTTAAAACTGAGTGCCATCTGCTTGAAATCTAGTTCAGCAGAATTGTGATACTCTATCTCTCCTTGAATTTCAGGTTGTAAAACAAACAAATGAACTTAACTCTTCCTTTTTGTAAGATCCATGTACAGGAAAAACTGACCTAACAGGAAAAAAAAGAAACTATTTAAATCCCTGCCATTTATCATAATTTTTTTAAAAAACAGTTAGTTGCACAGACTTTATATCTGTCAGACCTCCAACGATCTAAATCAGCTGAGTTTTTATTTCACTGTGATGTTCTGTGGAAAAAATACGTGAAGAAACCAAATGCTTCTCTATGAGCATTCATTTATTGGTGTTTTCAGTTTAATAGGTAAATGTCTGGGGTTAAGAGGTCAGATTATTTTAAGAAGTCATTAGAAGTGCTAATGTCTGTGTTTGAATATAGAGTGGCTGTTGACCATTGAACAAAATGTGCATCTGCTTGCCATAAATACAAAGCCTATAAATTTGTTGCTGAAAGTCTGAACAGAATTTCTTTTTTAGGAAGGCTTTTTGAGCAGATTTTTAATATCTATTTTTATAAAGACGTATATAAAATATTCTATAATAAATCTCTAGATAAGGTTCATCTTGCAAACTTGCACAAGTTACTGTTTTTTATTTAACAAATCTATTTTTTTAACAGTATAAGGTGAGAGCCTATATCCAGATGAAGTCACTAAAAGCGTGCAAAAGGGAGATCAAGTCTGTTATGAATACAGCTGGGAATGTAAGCATTCTTAATGCTATTGTTTTTCTGATCTAGATCTGTTCTTTATTTTAAAACTGAATTTGCTAACTTTCTTTACAAAGAAAGGTCTTGTTGAGGGTGAATGTCTGAAATAATGCTTCATGTAGTCAGTTGGGTTTGTAATCTCTTTTCTGCAAGTGTAATTAATGTAGAATTTTCTTATTTCTTCTATTTTCAGTTGCTCAGAAAAATGCGCTTGATTGCTAATGATACCAAAATATCAGTGAAACACTATATACTAAACAGGTTCAGTTTGCTTTATTGTTTAAGCAGCACAAAAGAAGTTTTAGTTTACTGTAACTGTTACATGTATTGCAAACTTCTGATATCATTGGTGGTTTAAACCAGTTCATAAAAGATTAATTCTGGGATATGCCGTTTTTTAGTTTGTTTCTTTTTCTTTTTGTTGACATCTTTTGGAGGCTTACCTCTTGCTGGAAAGCAGTTTCTTTTTTTATATAGGAGTTCTCAACTCAGAACTACGTTCACCATCCCAGATAAATTCTCCATTAACTGAGGAGCGGGGAGTGGGAGGAGAGCACTTCCCTTTTGTTGCCAGTCTCAACAGCTGCTAGTTTGACAAAAATCCTTCTGGATCGTGAGGTCTCTGTTGGCAGACCAGGAAGATCACAGCCCAGGAGGAAGCTGTTGGAACCCCGCAGGGAGGGAAGCGTGGGGAGGAGTGTACTAGAAGACAGGTTGGAGAAAGATCCTCTTAAACAAAAAGGAGATCCCCTGCACTGAGCCATTGCCATGACAGAGTTCTCTAGAATCATGTCGGGTTTTAGAGCAGTAACAAAGAATGCGTGTAGTTTTGTAGTTCAGAGGGAGGTGAGTGTTAATCATGTGCTCAACAAAGACATACTACTTCTTCAAATTATTAGGGCCTAAGCCCATGTATTTTCAATGTGGCAGCAGAGGCAAGATGTTTGTGGAGTGATTTAACACTAGCAGTAGAGATCATTAAACAAAAGATAATTAACTACTGTTTTCTCCTTCACAGTCAGCTCCTTCTCTCTTTCTTAAGAGCAATTTTGAATATTTGAGGGGCAATTATCGTAAAGCGGTGAAACTTCTAAACAGTGCAAACATTGCTGAACATCCAGGTTTCATGAAAACAGGTAAAATAGAAAACCTTCATCCTGCAAGTATGTAAATGTGTAGTATAACAGGACTCCTCACTGATATTAATTTTAAGCCTATTAATGATTACTTAAGGGAGTAGGCCCTGAGGGTCATGGGTTTAGTGCTGGGTATGTTTTTGTCTTTCTTGTGCTGCTTCATGTAACACTGTAGTGTTTTTCATTGAACGTTCTTCTAGACAATGCAGTGGTTGTCTAAGAAAATGGATTTGTGAAAGTGTAAATGTAGTATTTGCAAGGCTTATATATGAATCTCTAAATCAAGACATGAAACAAAAGGCAACATACTAGATGGAGAAATGAGATTTCAGATGGTACTCAGAGAGTATAGCAGTTGTAATGATTATTGTGGGGGAAATGCGTGTTTCATGAAGTATTGAGGTTTGACTTCTGTGGTATGTCATTTAAAGTTACTTCTGTATTTAGAAAGTATGTATGTGTACACATGCACAGAGATATAACAGCACGTAAATGTGTAAACTTTTTTAGATATAGACGTTATTTGTATACTAGAAATATATATGCTGTGAATATATACACTCACTGCATACGGTATTAAATATATTTGAGACTTTTGTGGATTGTTTAAAATATCGATTGAAAAATGCAGAGAGAAAGCTGTGTCTTGTATCAATAGAGAGTTAGGGTTTCAAAAAATACTTGCACTATAAAACTACTGAATTTCTTTACTGCTTTGTTCAGTGCTGGTTTTGTGATAGTACTCTTAATTTCTTGTGTTGTAAGATCTTTTATCTAGTAGATATTGCTGCATAGATTCCAGTTAGATGATAGAAGTTGTAGAGCTCGTTCTGGGAATCACAAGAATGAGTAAATTTTGTAAACTTCTGTATTTACAGATAAATTACATGGAAAACATTAAAAATGTTTGTCATAATGCCTATTCTGGCATATTTTGACACTTCTTTTAGAAATTAGTGTAACTTATTTTTATGTTTAAAGTTCGTTTTATAACTTTTTCTGGAGTGTTTTGTTGTCATTTAAGTTTTTTTGCAGTAGCGATTTTGCACAGTAGAATGTTCACTTAATAGTCTTCCTAGGTTACAATTAAAATGATGTCCTGTTAACTTGTTAATGGTCTCTTTCTTGGTTGTTTGGATTTTTAGGGTGGGTTTTTTCTTTTTGTTGTTTATCAGTGGCAACTCTGTAAAGCTTCAGTTACCAGCAGAGAACCCAAAAGTTTAATTTTCTGTCCTTTATTATTTAGAAAGAGCTTCTTACAGCATTACCTGAACATGACATATTTAGGAAGGAGAGTGCATTTCCTGCTTGTATGGTTAGGTTGACGTATTTGTTTACTTTGTGAAACTTAGAAAGGTGACATAATTTGATAATTTCCTGTTTTACAAGACCTGTCTGTTAGGAAACTTGAAATGCTTGCATGCTAAATGCTGTGAAGACCTTCAGGTGAACTTACTTCAACTTGCAGTCTATCAAATTTGCTTTATACCTGAATCTCCTAGAATATGATTTACAAAATTTAAAAATCTGTGGCTACTTATATATAGGTCATTTCAGGTCAACCGTCCAAGAGAATTAGAATGGTATACAGAAATGTAGGTTATTAAAATGCTCGTGAGGCAGGGATGTAACTGCATAATCCATGAACATCTCGCGGATGAAAATGTTTAAGAAACTGCCATAATATGCTCACCCATGAGAAAGTGGTGGGAGCATTTTATGGGCTCGGTGACATTTTTCAGTTTATGAAAATGGTCTTTTGCTGTTCTCTCAGGTGAATGCTTAAGGTGTATGTTCTGGAACAATCTTGGCTGCATCCACTTTGCAATGGGAAAGCACAATTTAGGAATTTTTTACTTTAAAAAAGCCTTGCAAGAAAACGATAATGCGTGTGCGCAGCTAGGAACGGGCAGCTCAGATCCAGGTAAGACTTTTAAGAGATGAAGATAGATGGTGGAAGATGGATGGTTGCATCAAGACAATAGAGGATAGGAGCTTTCAGTAATTATCAGCAAATTTCCTGTTCCATCTCTTTGCAGAAGACAGGATAAGGAGTGTGAGAGTTTTGATTGATTTCAGAGTATACTTATTGTTGCCAGAAATAGATGATGATGAAATGTCTGCTTTTTTGGCTGTTTTCTTTGTTGTGCCATGGGGCTGAGGCAATTACTTCTCTCTCGTTTATGATCTTTGACAATCAGTCAGGGAAATACAACCAAATAAAGTTTCTGTGACCTGTTATGCATCATTAAAGATGTTACTTGTAGTCCTGGTGACAGTAAGAAGAGTCATCAGGACCTGAAGGATGTGGGGGGAGTGGGGTTTTTTTAGTGTTTTTTTTTTTTAACTTGAAAGATAGAGAAAATGTGGAGTGCAATACTCTTAAATTAACATTTGGAAGATGGGGTATTTCTCAAACTTTCTTACTGAAAAATTCCCAGACTTGTATGAGAAATATTAATCTATTGTTTATTTTTATGGTTTTATCATCTACTTTTGTTGTAAGTATACAAAAGACAAAAAAATAAACATTATAGTAAGTTTTCTTGCTTTGATTAATAATACTTAGGGTGTTTTTTTTCTCTTCCGAAAAAAATAATTTCGTGACAAAATGGTAGTTCTTTCATTTCTTGTTTTCTTTAAAATCTAGTTACTATCATGTATTTTATTGTTTTTCCTGTTGCTCCCTGGCCCTGTACCTAAATGCAGTCTTAGGTACCAGCGTGAAGACAGAAAATGTTTTATGCTTGTTAACAGCAAAGTGGTTTTCTTCTGGATTTTCTATGAGTAATAAAGAGCTGTATTCTCACAAATCTGGGATTCAATATTATTGTACAACTCTTAGATTCAGTGACAAGGAACGTAAGTGGTTAGCATTTGATGTATTTCAACCTTTATTAAGAATACAATTAATTTATCTTCTGTATCAGCTTTGATGTGGAGGCAATTTATTTCCAGAGGGAGGCTAGTGAATTTCTGCGATGAATGGGTTTTTAGGTGGCCTTTGATTGTTTCCCACAGCCTCCATCCTCCTCCCAGAGTTATGTTTTCTGCTCTCCTGAGTTGCACATTCAATATGATGTAATCCTTTTCTGTAGGTAAAAAATTTTCGGGGAGACCCATGTGTACACTGCTGACCAACAAACGGTATGAGCTGCTCTACAATTGTGGAATTCAGCTCTTGCATATCGGGAGGCCCTTAGCTGCCTTTGAGTGCCTGATCGAGGCGGTCCAGGTTTATCACTCAAACCCTCGTCTTTGGCTGCGAATAGCAGAATGCTGCATTGCTGCCAATAAAGGGGTAAGTAGATTTGCAGATTCCTTGTTTTGAATGTAGTTATGAAATACATGTGATCACAGAAAGGAAGAAAGAATACCTTGAGCTGAACTATGCATTTTAAAGGCCTAATGTTGCAACACCTTTGTGTAAGTCCAGATTAATTATGTTTGCGTGTTGAATCTGAAGCTGCAACAGGTGGAGGAAAACCACCTTAGAAACAGCACCTTGAGGCTCAGTGTTTAATTGAGTTTTTCTAAGATCAGCAGAGTTTGAGTAGATGATCTGAAAGATCAGTGTGAGGTGAAACAAAAGCACCGAAGTGGCTGTTAGAGCTGCTCTTCTGTAAAGTTACAAATTTTTTGCTGGAGAGACTGGTTAAGCGTGATTTTGTTTTGGCAACTTACCATCACACCCCTTTGGCATTCCAACTCGTAATCTGAATGGGAAATCCTGAGCTGGTTTGAAGCACATTAGATTTCTCCAAGTGATCAGATGGTTTACCTTACTTTATTTCTAAAATTATTTCAAGACAAAAATAAAGATACTATTTGGAAAGAAACTTGTATTTTTCTCTAATGAAGCATCACTTTATAACAGGAAGCAATATGTTCTTTCTTAAGGCTGTCTACTTAAAATGTAGGTACTAACATTCATGGTTAGGATATTTTATGATGCCTCAGCTTTCCACACTTGTTTCCTGTTGGTTGCAAAACCTTGGGGTTTATGTATATTTGTATATATGTAAACCACAAAAAACAACCCCCCAAGTAATTCTGTCTTTTTGTGTGTGTACGGAAAAATTAAACTTGCTCAAGATCGTTTTTCCGTACCAAGTTCTGTACTACCAAGGATTTCTGTTCCTGGATTGCAGAAATAACAAGGTGAGATTGGAGTCAGTGACCGTTTGTAGTATCTACGGAAGGAAAATTTTTGTGTCTGCTCTTGGAGGTTTGATATTCACTTTGAGGCTGGATGCACAGAAACAGTTTTGATAACTTTTGTTTCTGTTACATTGAGGTGGAAGGCTTGTTTTTCTTCTTTTTCTTTTGAAAAATTTTGACTGAAACATCTTGGATTTTTATGCTTAGACTCTAGGAGTTGCATGAACGCTTCTGAAACAATGAGGTTCTAGCTTAAATTTTAGCTGGAGTAGTAGGAGAAAACATACATCTATCCAGTAGAGATCCTTTGTCTCTACTTTAAGGCTAGATACTACGGTGTAAAAGGTATGACTGAAAATATGTTGCTACTGTTTTACCAGACAGTAAGGTTAGTTTTTTGATGTTTTAGTGAATATGGTTATTGGATCACACTGGTGAAGAATCTTGTTTAAAAACAAAATTTATTACTGTGTCCTAGAACTTTACTGGAAGTTGCAAAAACTCTAGTAGAGGACTACTAAAAGTATTTTGTTCGAGTGGCTTCCTTCCTGGGATGTTCTTAATTACTCAGTTTTCTTGATGTATGTGTAATATGAGGTCCTTAAACTTCTTTTTCTAATTCTGTCTACTGTAAATCCACTATCCAAATTTAGATGTGGCCCCATTTTATAGGACTAAACTGGATGAAGATAACAAGATGTGCTCTGATTTCCACTGAAATCTCTGCACATGATCGTCCTTCTCTTCACACAGCCAAAACTCATCAAAAGTTTCATTATTTCCTCACTCAGTTGCTGCTAGAGGTTGGGAGGGGTGAGACCGTAAGTGTGGCTAGGCTAAAAGTGGCATAGGCTGAGGAAGCCAAGATCAGCCTTCTCCATCCTGAAGCTGTCATGATCACAGCTGGGGAACTGAATCCCCAGCTGCTGAGACTTGTTGTTCCTCTGCTGGCAAAGTTTGTGGAAACCTGCTGACAGCAGACGTACTGCATGTCCTCTGGGGCATCTTGGGTTCAGCCTGTTTGTCCATGTCTCTTTAGGATAAGCCCGCATGTTAAAATTCTGGTGGGGACAGAATCATTCATTCTTGGAACAGAAAACTACACCAAAATAGTACATCTGTGAAATTATGAGATACCATACTTGATTCCCTATGAAACTGTAATTCACCCCTTGTGTGTGTGGGCGTGAGGATGTAATCTATAACTGCATGATCCCATGCAGTTATTTCCACAGTATGCCCATTTCACTCAGTGCGCGGGATGGGTGGGATTAATTGAACAAATGACTATATTCACTCTAATTCCGCTGCGCCCCCCCCCCCTCCGAATTCTCTGTTTTCCCTCTCTGGGTGGCCTCTGTGCCTTGATTTACTGCACACTATCCAAATCCTTCTAAATACGAAATTCATAACTTTTCCGTTGGGAATTTCAATGGTGCTCATTATTTTGGTATCTCTGTTTCAGAAAGTTTAAGAAAGATATTCACAGCCTTATGCCATTATAGGAGGGGTTTGCTTATATCCCCATTTCACAGGCACAGCATGGAAATCTCAAGAGTGTTGGGTCAAAGACCGACTGACTTTGTGTATGCACTAGCTATTGTCAGATAGTTCTGAGTGCTTAGTTTGGTAAAGCGCAGCAAATGCAGGAAGAACAGCTTTCTTCGTACTCATTTTGCAATTTTCTCTGTCTATCCTACTGGTTACAAGTCACACATAGATAAGACGCAGCTGATCATCTCTAGTGGAAAGCTGGGTATGAGAGACTGGATGAACATAGGTTTTGTGGCAAAAAACAAAGGTAGAATTCTGTTTACAAGGACTGTGTTTAGCAGTCTGGAAAAGAGAAATACAAGCCCTTAAGGGGCATTTCTTCATTTAGTGCAGACTAGCTGAAACAGTGGATTATGCCAGGCTCCTAAAGCCTAACTTTCTTCCTGCTACAGCTGTGATGTTGTGTGGTGTACCAAAAGCTTGAATTCGTGTCAAAACCAGCTTGCTGTTTCCTAAATTTGTAATCTTACAAGAAAGAAATGAACTTTAGATGCTGTTAATGTTGAAGGTAAAGGGGAAGTATCTTAGAGTTTAAAGATAGATTTGCAACATGACAAGTGAGGCCCTAAAATCAAGAGGTGTTTAATTTGACGTTGTTAGCTCAATTTGCAATAATATTGCTTGATATCTAAGTATGGATTCATATTTATGCTCTGAACACCATACAGAAAAGTAATTTCACTGAAGCTAATTTTCACCCGCTTTATTATTTTCCATTATGCAGCTTTTTAACATCTTTTCCAAAATATGTGCTTCTTATCTAGACTCATTCTATGGATTTTTTTTTTTTATCTGACAGTAATTACTATTATAGTGTCAATATTCTTCTTCACAATAGATTCTGATAAAGTTTCTGGAAAGCGATAGCTATTTAAAGTACAGATTTAGGAGAAATATTTCCTTACAACTGCGACTCTTCAACAAAGTTGTTAAAATGGCTCATGGTCAAACAAACACACACCAGTAAATATGGTGTAAAGATAACTCTTGGGACTGACAGTTATGGTGCTTTAAGTTCATTTTACCCCCAGAATGTCTGCATAGGCAAAAATCTGTTAAACATTTTAATGTAACTTTGCCTATGTTGTGGCTCAGCTTCATGCTCCCCATGGAACGGTTGGAGAGCAGCTCTTTCAGAGAGCATTTTGAATGCTGTGTAAGGAGGGAGAGAAGATGGCAAGCGTTACAGTGCCAGTTCTGAATATTACTTGGCTGATCATGTGATTCCTTTTTAGATATCCTAGCAGTTCTTTTAATATGACTTAGTTCATTGTTGTTTTGCTTTCAAAACAGAGGAGAAACTAGGTCAGTAGGCTATCAGACAAGCTGTCAGAACTAATCTGTGGTTACGCTGTGTGCAGTAAAATCCCTCTGCAACACAAAGACAATAGAAGGTGCCTGATCCTTCATGGTACTTAAGATTTAAAATGGTACCCATATAAACTATTAGTTCTTACATTTTAACAGCGTTCAAAGTCTTCTTCCAGCTTTCACTTACTTTGTCAAGCTCTGATTCAACAGCCTTGATATTTTAGTCCTCCTTTTTTTGTTTGTTTTTTTTTTTTCCCCTTTTAGACATCAGAACAAGAGACTAAAGGTCTTCCCAGCAAAAAGGGAATTGTGCAATCTATAGTAGGTCAAGGCTACCACCGCAAGATAGTCCTAGCATCCCAGTCAATACAGAATGTCGTTTATAAGTAAGTATGTTTTCCGTGGTTTTTTTATTTTGTTGTCATAGCTTTGTTAAGCATACTTACCAGTTTATCAGGAGTTTTTGAAACTGTCACGGAATAACTGTTCATTTTGGAATTACTAATGTAGTGAAGAGAGAGGCATGTTGAAATGATGAGGTCCTACTTGAACATCGTTTGGATGCCTCCTCTGTGATGGCCAGCAGAGGGCTTAACAGTGCATTGATTGTAACTAAGAAGGCCATTAAAGCTTAAAACTGATTTATCTGAAATTTATATTTCCAGTTTGCTAAATCTGTCCTCTTTTTCTCACTAAAAATACATATTTTCAGTAATCCACTCTAGAAAAGTGCTGAAAAATGTAGTTACTCTGTCATGAAACTTCAGGAAGTGAAGTCAAGAAAAAGAAGAGAACTTGTAATTACGTAGTTGAATCTACTCACTCTGCTTGGGCATCGTGGTGTACTTTCCATATATAAGAATAGCAAGGTACATACGTCTTCATAAATTGTGTTCTGTTAAAACATGATTTAACTTTTTTTTAGGATGAAGCTTTCTCTGCATTCAGATCTTTCTGGAGCTCAGCTTTTATTTTTTAATTCAGTAGCATTGATACTCACTGACTAACTTCTTGTCTCTTTAAGTGATGGGCAGTCCTCAGCAATACCTGTAGCAAGTATGGAATTTGCAGCGATTTGTCTAAGAAATGCCTTGCTGCTACTGCCAGAAGATCAGCAGGAGCCAAAGCAGGAAAATGGATCTAAAACTAGTAATCAGCTGGGGGGGAATACAGAAAGCAGTGAAAGCAGTGAAGCGTGCAGGTAAACAATTGCATGTGAACCTTTCTTTCAGTCCAAAGTAACTCTGGGCTGACAGTCTGTGTCTGCTACCTAGCCTGTTTGGCCACCAGAAAAAATAACGCTCTTGTAAATTCTCTTAGCAGTGTTGGGATATCCAAGGAAGTTGTTGAGCTGCTCATTGTTTTAATTGCTGGGATGATAATTTAAGAATGAAATACAGAGTTGAATCCTACCATTCCTAACAGCTTTAAGAAATTAGACGGTGAAATTCTTTTTTTTCACTGGCCATCTTATGTGCTGCAAGTGTTATGTTTTCCCACAACCTCCTGCAGTGCATATTGGTATTTCTCTAATTGTAAGTGAAGTTTCACGTTACAGTGATTTTGTGTGTGTGCCCGTGCACCATGTACTTGATTCAATATATAAATGTCTAGCAACTCAGTTTTAAACGTTTCCCCATGATCAGATTTGACATTTATCAGCCCTGATATGCTTTGTTGTGTTTGTTTTAGATGAGAAATGGGAAACTAGATTTAGAAGATAAATAGGAAGGCAGCATGGAGCTATTACTTAATAAATTGCATTTTACAAAAAGGAGTTTAAGAAAAATATCTCTTTTTTCTTTTGTTTTCTCCTTAAAGCTTCAGGAAGATCTTGTATGTCAAATGTTAAATAGCAGGAAGGTGTTTTAATTTTTTGCATTTATTGTGATGTGCTCAGATTTCCTTTTGCAGAGTAACTTTGTTGGCTATAGCCTGTGCTTTCATTAATGACCATTTTGAAAAGGGAAGAGTTACAGTAACTAATCTGGAAAAAGTGGCTATGTTAGGACTTTAACTACTTAGAGTAATGAAAAAACACAATGTTTTTGTCAGACCCAAGTACAAATAAATTTTAAGAAGGTAAGATCCATTTGTCATATGGCAGGGTTTGCTGCACATACACTGTGTTGCGTAGGCACAGGGCTGGCAGTTGGTGGCCGCTACTGCTGCGGCAAGATTTGAAGGCTGTTCTCTGTAACTCTTTTTTCGCCAATGACAATCTTTCCTGTCAAGTGGCCAAATAATTTATGAACTTTGGGGTGGGAGCAGGAGTGTTTCTTTTTTGCTTACCAAGGTTGGAGGTTGTGAACTAACTTCGCCTGGCAAGCTGTATGCAGCGCATGGAGGTGAAGCTCCTCTGGTTTAAAGGAGACTTCAATTTTAAGCTTATGGGGCTCCCTGAGTGGCAGTGATGAAAATAAAATTGTGGCCCCTACTCAAGCGAGACCTTTTTTCTTTTGTTTTTGGTGGGGGTTTTTTTGTTTGTTTTTGTAGGAGTGAGGAAAAGAAATCGTGCCCTGTACAGGAAGATTCTTTACTACCTTCTGCTTTTAAAACCAGATGCTTCTTCAGCTTAAAAAAAAAAATGTAAAAAAGACTGCCTTGTATCTCCCAGTGGTCATTGCCAATTGCAAAATATCAAGTAACAAAGCAGGCTGTTCTTGAATTTGTGTGTCACATTCTGAAGGGTTTTCTAAGGGTTTGTTCCTTCTGACACGGGACCCTCTGCAAGAGAACAGTAAAAAATTGAAGGATTTCAAGAAAATCGCGCTAGTTGAACAGGATGGTTTTGAAGCAAACCCCACTAATTGAGCAGGCTGACTCCAGGACAGATTCTTCTGTTACTCACAAGAAAATAGTGAATGCTTTCAGTGGTTAATAGTATTTTTTTTAATCTAATTTTTGGCAAAGGCATGAGTAATAAACAGATACGAAACTACGTCAGTGAAAAAGTTCTTGTTAGATGGACAGACTCAGTTTCAATTCTGATTTTTTTTTTTTTTGGATCTGTTGTTTTTAAACCTCAGTGTCTCGCTCTGTCAAGGTGCAGCTGTTAGCCTTCTCTGCAGTTCTCATTCCAGAAGGAGGTTGTCTTTCAGCTTATTGGAGAGCAAAGTTGCAGACTTTAAACAAAACGAATATTTGCTCCCCCCAAAAAGCCAAGCGTAACTAAGAAAGTGGAATTTTGAGCTTTTTTTAAAAAGACATTTTGAAATAATAATAAAAATAAAGGCAGCTGGAAGTCTAAAGGAAGCCGTAGCACTGTGTGTTATCTTTCTAGAATATTTATGTAACTAGTTTT